TGCTTGAACCCAGGAGGCAGGGGTTGCAGTGAGACAAAATCACACCATTGCACTCCAGCCTGGGTGACAATAGTGAAACTCCATCTCGATTACAACAGAGAAATACTGAATACAGATATCTCTGGGTATTTAAGAGTCTGGAGGACTTACGGGGCAAGTTATAGTTTATTGGTTTCGCATAGTTATGCTAAGAGTGAAAAATGCAAACGGCTTTGAGGCCCAGCTTCAGTTGCTATCAGGGCAGGGGGGTCTTGGGTCACAACCAGTTGGGGTGGAGGGTGGGATGAACTGGCCATGTGTGCCCCATATATTGATTGCCAAGGTATTGCCTGTCAGTCTATCATCACAGAAAACCTTTCCTGTTCACATTGTCATGTGGTTTCTGTTTCTTGAAGGAACCGTGACTGGTCATTTAAAGGCGTAGCTGCTGCTCATGCCCAGCTCACTTGTGGTCCTGGTGGCATGAAAGTTTGGATTTTTTTTTTTTTCGGAAAAGAGCTGCAAATCCAGATTTTAAGGTTAAAAGCTCCAGATTTTTTTTTTTTTTTTTTTTTTTGAGACAGAGTTTCGCTCTTGTTACCCAGGCTGGAGTGCAATGGCGCGATCTCGGCTCACGGCAACCTCCGCCTCCCGGGTTCAGGCAATTCTCCTGCCTCAGCCTCCTGAGTAGCTGGGATTACAGGCACGCGCCACCATGCCCAGCTAATTTTTTGTATTTTTAGTAGAGACGGGGTTTCACCATGTTGACCAGGATGGTCTCGATCTCTTGACCTCGTGATCCACCCGCCTCGGCCTCCCACAGTGCTGGGATTACAGGCTTGAGCCACCGCGCCCAGCCAAAAGCTCCAGATTTTTAAATACCAGCAACTGGCCAGGCATGGTGGCTCACTCCTATAATCAATCCAAGCACTTTGGGAGGCTGAGGTGGGTGGATCACTTGAGGTCAGGAGTTCAAGACCAGCTTGGCCAACATGGTGAAACCCTGTCTCTGCTAAAAATACAGAAATTAGCTGGGCATGGTGGGAAGCGCCTGTAATTCCAGCTACTCCGGAGGCCAGGGCAGGAGAGAATTGCTTGAACCTGGGAGGCAGAGGTTGCAGTGAGCCGAGATCGTGCCACTGCACTCTAGCCTGGACGACAGAGAAAGACTCTGTCTCAAAAATAAATAAATATTAATTAATTCATTAATAATATATAATACATTGAGCATTACTACTAGTGCTAGTAATAATAATACCTGGTTTATTGAGTGCTTACTATGCCCTACGTGCTATTCTAAGCACTTTACATGGATAATCTCCCTTCCATCTCCTAACAATACTGAGGGCAGTTCAATTGTATGTAACAATGAGACATGAGGCCAGGCATGGTGGCTCACGCCTGTAATCCCAGTACTTTGGGAGGCCGGGGCAGGTGGATCACGAGGTCGGGAGTTCAAGGCCAGCCTGGCCAAGATGGTGAAACCCCATCTCTACTAAAAATTAGCCATGCGCAGTGACACGCACATGTAATCCCAAGTACTCAGGAGGCTGAGGCAGGAGAATCGCTTGAACCCAGGAGGTGGAGGTTGCAATGAGCCGAGATTGTGCCATTGCACCCCAGCCTGGGTGACAGAGTGAGACTCTGTCTCAAAAAAAAAAGAGAATGAGACATGAGATTTGACCTCAAAACTCACACATCCTCTTGAGTAGTTGAGGGGAAGAGCTGAGCCCCACTGTGCTGAATGTGACAGGCCCGGGAGACGTCACACACCCATCTCACCAAGCAAGCCCTGAGAGAGAGGCAGTATGATGCCTGTTTCCTGGAGGGGTAGACTGAGGCAGGGAGCAGTGGAAAGGCTTGCCCTGGGGCCACAAGCTTCAGAGTCTGGTCTGACTCCACACTTCTTTCTCAGTTCTGGCTGTCTCACTCGTGAGGCTTCTACGTTTCTCCTGCCTCACACTGGGAATTCCCTGAGGGACAGCCCTGAGTCACCTGTCTTATCTCTCCCCAGGATGCAGGAGACAGGGAGGCTTGGTGAAGGTCTTCCGTTTTTTGTTTTCTTTCTTTCTTTCTTTCATTTGTTCGTTCGCTCTTTCCTCTTCCTTCCCTCCTTCCTTCCTTCCTTCCTTTCCTTCCTTCCCTACCTCCCTCCCTCCTTCCTTTCTTTTCTTTCCTTGCTTTCTTTCTTTCGACAGAGTCTTGCTCCATTGTCCAGGCTAGAGTGCAATGGTGCGATCTCAGCTCACTGCAAGCTCTGCCTTCTGGGTTCAAGCAATTCTCCCTGCCTCAGCCTCCTGAGTAGCTGGGATGACAGGTGCCCGCTACCACACCCGGCTAATTTTTGTATTTTTAATAGAGACGGGGGTTTCACCATGTTGGCCAGGCTGGTCTTGAACTCCTGAACTCAGGTGATCACCACCTTGGCCTCCCAAAGTGCTGGGATTACAGGCGTGAGCCACCATGAAGGCCTTCCGTTTGACAATATCGCAACCACAAAAGTGAAAACTTCAGGAACATGCCTATGGATTTTTGGGTATTTGTCAAAACAGCTGGCTTAATTTGCTCACCAACTGTAATCACTTAATTCACTCACCAAAATTAGAGCAGGAGCGTTAACTTGCTTCCCAGGGACTAAACTCAAGTGCAGATGGGTTTTATTGGGTCTGCTTGGTGTTTTTTTAGTTTCTGAATTAGTTGCTGGTATGTATGTATGTATGTGTGTATTTATTTTGAGTTAGAGTCTCACTCTGTGGCCCAGGTTAGAGTGCAGTGGCACGATCTCGGCTCACTGCAGGCTCTGCCTCGGCCAGGTTCAAGCAATTCTCTTGATGCCAACTGAACCCACGACAACCTCCACCTCCCAGGTTCAAGCGATTCTCCTGCCTCAGGCTCCTGTAATTTTCCTGGGATTACAGGTGCACACCACCATGCCCAGCTAATTTTTGTGTTTTTAGTAGAGACAGGGTTTCACCTTTTTTGCCAGGCTGATTTCAAACTCCTGACCTTAGGTGATCTGCCCACCTTGGCCTCCCAGAGCGCTGGGATTATAGGTGTGAGCCACCACACCCTGCCAAATGTATTAACATATCATATAACAAGTGTGCAATATAATATGCTCTACATTATATATTAATTTAGTATATAATATATTGTATAATCTATATGTTATTATTATACAGGATATAGCATAATATATGCTATTTATTAGCTAATGAATGTGTAATATAATGGATTCTACATTATATGCTATATACAATATATTATACATGCATTATTATATAATATGTAGCATATTACATACAATGTTATGTATTAGTAATTATATAATATAGGTGCATGCATAATATGCTATATTGTATATTAATTTGTTAACGTACATAATATGTAATAAGTGCAATATAATATTCTCTACATTATATATTAATTTATTACATAATATATTGCATATATTATACATTATGCTATATGTAATAATATAAATTGCATATATTATACATAATGTAGTATATATTCACTTATTAATATATTATAGATGCTATGTAGCATGCAATATACTATATATCTCTATGTATCTCTCTCTATGGTCTGGCTCACTCTAAGTAGGAAAAAGTACTTTATGCAGTATTTAGCAAATTCAGGGCCCATATTTCTTCTGTATCCCCCAGTACCTAACAAAGTTCTCGGTCCACAGTAGATAATTAGAAAACGCTGTTCCGTGACAGTAACCCCAACTGCTGTACGTGACACCTTTGAGGCGTCCAAAAATGCCACCTCTCCCAACTTAACCTCTAAACCAGCACCCCTATAAGCAGCTAGAAAGCAACCCTGAAGTCCCAGTCCTGCCCCCCTCCATGCTGAGTGACCTTGGACTGCTCCCTTTCCCTCTTTGAGCCGCAGAGTTCTCCATCTGGAATACAGGTGTCCTTGGGCCCCGAGGTTCGCCCTGCTCTTTACCCAGGCGCGGCCCGGACCCTGGCCGGGGGGCTCACCGATGCTCTCTGTCTGCACGTAGCACTTGCTGCCCAGGCAGTACCGCCACAGGCCCTGGTGGGCGAAGGTGCCTGACAGCCGGTACTGCATCCAGTGGTCTGTTGCCGTGGCCACCACCAGGAGGATGGTCCCCACCCAGGCACAGAACAGGCCACCACCCATGAAGCTGTACATGGTGATCTGTGGGGAAGGGGAGAGATGGGGTTGGGAGCTGGATTCCTCAGACTTGATGGAGGAAGGAACTGGGGGAAGAGTGGGCTTGGGAGTGGAATGCCGGGTGCCTGGGAGAAAGAGATGGAGACCTGAACGCTTGGGTCCTGCGGGAGGAGGGGACTGGGGGCCTGGACTCCTGGGTCTGAGGCAGGAGGATAGTAGGGATCCCGGAAAGACGAGACGGAGGAGGGGCTTGATTCTTGGAGCCTTGCATCCTGGGAAAGAGAGGGCGGGGGCCTGGATTGCCAGGTTCTGAGCAAGGAATAGGCTGGAGGCCTAGATTCCTGAGTCCTAGGGGAGGAGGAGCCCAGGGGCCTGGATTCCTGGGTGCTGGGTAAGGAAGGAGCTAGGGGATAGATAGCAGGTGGGACATCAGGTCCTGGGAGAAGAAAGAGCTGGGACTCTAGACTCCTGGGACCTGGGTAAGAGGGGACTACAGGTCCCATGCCTGGTGCCTACCTGAGTGGCAGAGCCTGCCGAGCCCTCCTACTGCCACAGCCCCTCTGTGCAGACTGAGCTGAGCCTGGGCACTAGCCTCTCGGCCCCCTTAGGTTCTCCAAATCCCTTAAGCCTCCCTACACAATGGTCCCACGACCCAGTAGCTTCCAGCAGGCAGAAATGCAGCGGTGGCAGAGGCCTCAAATGGAATTCGCTGAGGCAGGCATCCAGGGGGTTCCCTGCCCCCAACCACTGCTCACTGACCTCTGTGACCCTCCCCTGGACACACTACATTATCACCAGCGTTGCTCACAGCAATCCTGGCTTTGGCCGAGCTGTGTAAGTGCGCATGCACACACAGACACAGACACACAAGATACAGGGAGAATCACGCGTTTATTGTTCAACCAGGGCTTCCTACCTGAAGAGCAGGCGGTGGGGTGGGGGGAGTCACAGGTGTCTGGATGTGTTGGACCAGTGGGCTTCTTTGTGGGGTGGCATCATGGGGCTATCACAGTTGCGGCTGGGACAGGAAGGAAGGTGAGGATGGACACAGAGCTGTGGCTGAGGTTGAGGATAGGGCTCTTTGGGGCTGTAGTTTCAGAGGACATTAAACATGGGCTGATGAGAAAGGGGTTGGTAAGGAGGGTGGGTTAGGGTTGAGGCGCAGAAGTGAAGCTGGGATTGGGGGCAGGGATGGGAATGAATGGGCTCGGGAATAGGGTGTTGAGAGTGGGGGAGAGAGACGCAGAGAGGAGCAGCTTTGGGCTTAGGAAGAGGGTAGGGGACAGGGTTGGAAGAGCCCTGGGGGTCGAGAATCAGGCAAGGATTGTGGTCGGGGATGGCGCTGGGCATGGGGTTGAGGCCATCAAGGAGACAGGCCTGGCAGGGCGTTCAGGGTTTTCTTCTGGCTTGGGATTCTAAGTCAAGTAACTTAGGTCAGGTTCACCAAGTGGCTCACAGGAAGTACTCCTGGGACCATGGTTTGGGGGACAGGGGAGGATGGGAACAAGATGTTTCTTGGGGTTCTTCTGACAGAGCTGAGGTCACTCCAGGCCCCAGGAAAAGCCTCCTGGGTGACTGTGATCCCAGGTACTGGACCCTCTGGGATCCTAGTACTCTGTCTCCCAGTCCTCAGCGGCCGGTGGTGTTTCCAGGGGTGGCTCCGAACCGTGAGCTTCCTTCTTCCCACCCTGGGCAGGTAGTGTTGGTGGTGAGGGCAGCGTCACTGGTGGGGTCCTGGGGCCAGCCCCAAGGCCCCCCGCCCAGCCCCTCTCTGGCTGCTCAGCTCTCCCGGGACCCCATCGATGTGGGCCCCGGCCCCAGCCTGGCCTGTGTCTGACTTCCCAGCCCCCGCGTCCCCTTGGAGGCCTCCTGACTGTGCCTGGCTGGGTGTGGCCTGCCTGGGGATAGCAGGGGCAAGAGGGCAAGGACTGTTGGAGGCTGTAGACCCCAAGTAGGGCACTATGCAGGAGGCAGGAGAGGGTGTCCAGGCGTATGGGCACGGTGACAGAGGCCACGCTCTCCGGGAGCCCCAGGTGGGTGGGGTCTGTGACGCCCAGGAGCCAGGGTGGCTGGGCTGAGACAGTCGAAGGGGTCCATGGCTCAGTCCCAGATGATGGCAGGGACAGGTTGTTCCTAGAACGACAAAAAGACACGTCAGTGGGACTCAGCATCTATTTCCTTCCTTCCTTCTTGCTGATGGGCTGTCTCTGGACCTCTGTTGAGAGTAGCCATCTCTCTCCATCCTCAGTGTCCGCCTGTGACTTCCTCACCCTCTTCTGCCTTTTTGTTTCTAATCCGTGTCTCTCTATAGAAAAACAAACAGCTCTGCCATTAACTTCAGCATCAGCCAACTCAGTTCCAATTTCTGGTCGCCTCGCTTATGGTGGTGTATCTTTGGACAAGTCGTTTTCCTATTCCAAACCTTGTTTATCGCCACAGATGGCTTTGGGTGGTAACAAAGGCACGTATGACAGGGCCGGGTCTGGTAAGCGCTAAAACAGTGGACAACTACGATTTCTCTAGCTCTCTGGGGATGCCTGGAGTCTTCAAGTTTCTTGGTTTATTCTTTAAAATGTCTGTTCGGGCCAGGTGTAACGGCTGACGCCTGTAATCCTAGCACTTTGGGAGGCCGAGGTGGGCGGGTCACCTGAAGTCAGGAGTTCGAGACCAGCCTGGCCAAGATGGTGAAACCCTGTCTCTACTCAAAATACAAAAATCGCCGGGCGCGGTGGCTCAAGCCTGTAATCCCAGCACTTTGGGAGGCCGAGGCGGGTGGATCACGAGGTCAAGAGATCGAGACCATCCTGGTCAACATGGTGAAACCCCGTCTCTACTAAAAATACAAACAATTAGCTGGGCATGGTGGCACATGCCTGTAATCCCAGCTACTCAGGAGGCTGAGGCAGGAGAATTGCCTGAACCCGGGAGGCGGAGGTTGCGATGAGCCGAGATCGCGCCATTGCACTCCAGCCTGGGTAACAAGAGCGAAACTCCGTCTCCAAAAAAAAAAAA